ATAATTATTTAATAATTAATTAATTAATTATATATTGATATTTAATTTAAATTAATTTAGTGGTAAAATAGGGGCAAAATGGTAATCCAACTATGAGGTTAGGAGCTTCCCACTTTTAGTAATATATGATGATATGATATGATGATTTAGTATTTAGTATAAAATGATTTGATTACTATTTAGCATTTAATTAATTAGATATTTTACAATATTTAATTTTAGTGTAGGGGTAAAATAGTAATCCAACTTTGAACCTAAAACCTTCCCACTTTTAATAATATATGATATGGTATGAGAAGAATAGAGTGTGGATAAATTTTACCTCTACCTCGGGAGTGAGGTAAAACACCTACCATTTTAGACAGACCATCGACTCAAGGCAAAAACATACCAGAAAAAAATATAATGGAAGTAGCAGAAAAGTACTAGAACAAAATATTATAATCAAACCACATGAAATGAAAAATATCAACAAAAATCGAAGAATAAGAGACTAAAAGTGTAGCACTACGATTACTAGTAAGGGTAACAAGACAATACACTCCTACCTACTAGTAGGACCCTTGCTTAACTACTAGTCTTCTATCATAATTCGTGTCATCCACACCTTACTATCTAATGTCATGTTCTCAATATACTACAATTGTGTCATGTCTCTCCAATACTTCGTTGATCTACCTTTACCCCTCCTGAATTCATCCATAGCCAACCTCTCACAAGATATCTAAGCATCTCCTCGTCATATGCCCGAACTATCTCAACCTTGCTTTCCACATCTTGTCCTCCATAGTAGTCACTTTCATCTTTCCTCAACTATCTTATCTCTCTTAGTAAACTCACACATCCATTAAATCATTCTTATCTCTTCCACCTTCATCTTGTGAATGTGGAGTTCTTGACTAGACACACTCCACCACATACAACTTAGTTAGTCTAACCACCACTCTATAAAATTTGCCTCACAGTTTAGGTGATACTTTCTTATCATACAAAACTCCGAATGCAAACCTCCATTTTATCCACCCTGCACCAATACACCGAGTGATATCCTCATCTATTTCTCCACTTCTTGGATAGTAGACCCAATTTACTTGAAACTACCTTTTTTTGGATGACTTATGTATCAAGCCCTACCTCCACGTCAGCTTCATGTGTTACCTCAGAGAATTTGCATTCTTAGTATTTGGTTTTGGTTCTGCTCAACCTAAATCCTGTAAACTCTAAGATTTATCTCCAAACCTCCAATTAACATTAACTCCTTTGTGGTCTCGTCAATCTAAACTACGTCATCCGCAAATAATATACACCATGACACATCACCTTGAATTTACCACCACAATATATCTATCACTAAGGCAAATAAAATGGGCTAAGGGTTAATCCCTAGTGAAACCTCATCGACATAGAAAAGTGCTCCGAGTCTCCTTCCACCGTTCTAACTAGTCTTGATTCCATAGTGCATGTCCTTAATGTACTTAGTGTACGCCACCTACACCCTCTAGCCTCCAAGAACCTCCCTTAGAACTTTGTTGTAAGCCTTTTTTAGATCGATGAGCACCATGCATAAGTTCTTCTTCCTTTCCCTATACTGCTCCACCAATTTTCTTACGAGATGAATGACTTCAGTAGTGAAGCGTCTTGGAATAAATCCAAACTAGTTCTCGGAATAGCTATGATCCTCTTCAACCTCGAATCCATCACCCTATCACAAACTCTCATAGTGTAGCTTAACAACTCTCAAAAAAGTAATTTTGTTCTCAATGTAAAAAATGATATTTTAGAACAAACAAATATGGCAGAGAAGTCTGCAAGTCGATGGCTTCAATTTCCACCCTCATGTTGCTGTGGGCACCTACATGAGCTGCAAATACCCCCT